CAAGAATACGAGTTTCCGGGCACTTCTGGTGCCAAAAACCTATGGCTAGATGGCATCACGGACAGCCCCATCGACGGAACCAACCTCCTAGAGCCGCCGGTCGAAGCCTCTCGACTCAAAACTGCCGCCGTAGGGCCGGTTCCGTGCCTCGAGATCCGCCTCGTACTCGATTCGGGGCCCCGCCGACCCGTAGGTGGTCGAGATTCCTGTGTTACTTGGTGCGGCTAGTCGCCCACGCCCCGGGGGGGCTTCGATCCGCCGAGAGGACGAGAAGAGACGACTCAAAACGACCGACGTGGCATCGGTCCGGAGCCCTGCCGGCCCGGCACGGTCCACTAGTCTGAGAACCTTCTAGGCCTAGCCTGCCGGACGAGGGCAGCAGTTTAAGTTACAAGCGCGAAGTAGAAGCGAAGCACACAGTGGGGGGCCGGGGGGAAGGTGGGAAGCGGAGCACAGAGTGGAGGGGTCCTACGGGAGGTCGGCGATGTAGCACTTGGGGACGCGGTCCGCGTCGACGAGCATGGTAGCGTCGGCGAGGGGCTCGAGCGTCGTCGCCTGCTTCTTGAGGGTGAGGAGCGCGTACTCGAAGCCGTCGATCTTCTTCTGCGCGTCGCGCACGCCGTCCGCGTCGCCGACGGGCACGACTTCCTTGGCGTCCTGGGCCTGCTTGAGGTGGATGGCCGTGTGCTGGATGACCTTGTTCAGGTTGTTGGGCGAGGACAGCTTGTGCACGTCGGCCTGGTCGAAGAAGGAGGGCGTCTCCGGGCCCGTCGCGCCGCCGAGCACGACGGAGACCGTGTGGTTCGACCGCGGGCAGCACGCGCACACGAAGGTGCACGGATTCGGGAGCATGCGCTGCGCGGCCGACGCGTCGGCGACGCCGAAGGCCTGCGAGAGGAGGCTCCGCTTCGCGTCGAGTTTCTCGAGTTGCGAGTCGCTGAAGATGCGGCCGAGGGTCGCGACACTGACCTGGAAGGTCAGCGGCGCGTCCAGGCGCGTGAAGTGGACGACCAGGGCTGGCATCGTCGGGTCGCGAGAAAGGATGCTTGGGGCCCGCGTGCGGTCCTCCTCGAGGATCTCGAAGAAGAGCGCGCCGGCCAACGCGCCCCGCGGCCGGCCCTCGTCGGCGAAGGTGACCGCGACCACGCCATGCAGCGGCAACGCCTTGAGCTTGTCCGTGAGGGGCGCGTCATTGAGGTCCTGGCGTTGGACGACCGCGCTGCCGACCTTGAAGACCAACTTCTCGCGGCGCGGCCGGCCGACGGAAATCGTCGCCGACTCGAGCGCCGCGTTGACCTGGGCCTTCGTGAGCACCAGGTGCGCCTCGAAGCAGGGCGGCCCGCCCGCCGCGCGGTCGCAGTACAGGGCCTCGGACAGCAGAAAGCTGAGGCCGCCGTTCTTGCCCGGCGAGAACTCGTAGTCGACTCCGTCCAACACGAGAAGCACCTTCTTCGTCTTCGCGGCGACGAAGCCCTCGAAGCGCTCCCCCACCGCGTTGCGGATGATCTGCTTCACGGAGCTGAGCGACAGCGTCTCGACCTGCTCCCGCGCGAGCTTCACGACGTAGACGCCGAGCTGCTCGCCGTCCGCGAGCGTGTCGCCCTCCACGGCGCAGCAGAGCTTGACCATGACCGCGGCGTCGCCCGGGCCGTCGGGTCGCAGCAGGCGGGTCACCGGCGACGTCGAGCGCCGCGGCGGCTCCGAGCGGTCGTGCGGCGGCGAGCGGCTGCGGCCGCGGTACGCGGAACCGTCGCGGCGCGGCGGCGCGCGCGAGCTCGAGCGGTAGGCGGCCGAGTCCCGCGACCGGCTGCGGCTCCGCGACCGGCCGCGGCGCGGCGACCGGCTGCGGCGCGGCGCCCGGGAGCGGTCGCGGTCGCGGCGGCGCGGCGGCGGTGGCGGCATTACGTCGGCGGAATTCGGAGCGCGGCGGCTGTCGCCGTCGCGCGCGCGCGACGGGGTGCGAGAGCCGCGCCCGCGACTAGCGGGTCGCCGCCGCCCGTCGCGCGCGCGCGGCGACGACGAACGGTCGCGGCCGACGTCGCGGTCGCGGCTTAGCGACCGCCGCGTAGAGCGCGACGACGAGCGACTGCGTGGCGCGGGGGTGCGGCTGCGCCCGCGCCCGCGCGAGTCGCTTCGCCCGCGGCGGGGGTCATGGTCATGGTGACGGCGCAGGTTGCCGGCCTGAGTGTGGTCCGAGCTTGACATCGTTCAAAGTCCGTGGCCGTCGGGCCGGCGTCTCGCGTCCTGCGCGCGTCTCGCTCTCGAGGCGCCGCGTCCCCGGGGGGTCCGGCCGGCGTCCCGGCGAGGCTCCGGCCGGTCTCGGCCGCGTCCCAATACCCGCGTCCGGGCCGCGTCCGGGCCGCGTCCCGCGCGTCTTTGCTCCGTCCCACCCCGGGTCCCGCGTCCCGCGTCTCGGTCGGCGTCCCGGCCGAGTCCTGCATCCCGCGTCCCCCGCGTCCCGGCCGCGTCTCCGCGTCTCGGCCGCGTCCCGGGGAGGTCTCGGCCGGGTCCCGCGGCGTCCCGGACGCCGCGTCCCGGCGCCGTCCGGCCCGCGTCCCGCGTCCGGCCCGCGTCCCGCGGGTCCCGGCCCCGTCTCTGCCGACGTCCGGGCCGCGTCCCTCGCGTCCCTCGGCCGGCGTCCGGGCCGCGTCCGGGCCGCGTCCCGCGTCCCGGGCGCGTCCCGGGCCGGTCCGGGCGCGTCGGGATCGCGTCCCGCCGCGTCCCGGATCCCGCGTCCCGGCGTCCCGGCGGCGTCCCCGGGACCGCGCGTTGCCTAGGGGCCCCTGCCGGGGGGCGCCGCCCGAAGCCCAAAACGAAGAGGGTACCTTCCCAAAGCCTACGTATGATAACCACAGCTAAAGCTTCGCGCACGCAATGACTGTCCGTCTCGTTTTGCACGGGGAGGAGGCCTAGGGCTACAGTTAGATGCGGGAAAATATGCCATATTGGGCGGAGGTGCGGGGACTGGGCCAGGGAGGCCTCCGCCGCGCCTCCGTCGCGCGCCCGAAAGCTCCCCTCGCGTCGAACCAGCGGCATCCAGGAGTTAATCCAGGAGCGGCTCGAAGTTGACGTTCAACGTGACTTTCGAGGGCAAAAGTGACGGTTGCGATGCGCTGCGGCCCCGGCCGGGCGCGAGGCGACGTCGTCCCGTGCGTGCACGGACGTGTTGTTAGACTTGATGTACGAGGTCACATCGTGCGTGTTGTTTGATGTCGTGCGTGCGCTGCGGCGCCTGCACGCCTGCGGTTTGAAGACCGCTGACGGCCACGCACGAAGGCGCGGGTGTCGAGCCCCACGGGCACCGCCTAACTCGCCCCGCAGAGCCCGGAACGAACACCACACATCATCGTAGCCGCTCGCGCTCGACGAACGATCGTTGAGGTTACGAGTTTCGTTCATCTGTTCGCGCGCGCGGCGCGCCGGCTCCGCTCGTTTCACCGAGACGACCTCGGCCGCGATCGCGCGCGACTCACGTCGCCCGACGGCGCAGACCCGCCGCGCCCGGGTCCGCATGGGTTTGGTACACCCTACGAACCAATCTTCTGGCCGAGACGCGCGCGCTGACGCGCGAAAACGGTGTTTCGATTCGTTTCGAAAGCCCCCAGGGGGGGTCCCACGCGCGGCGCGCGGCACCAGCGGCGAGTTAGCGTACGTAGAATATTTCCCACCTGAGGAATACCCCAATTGAAACGTCGGTCCAGACCGCGTCGATTTTGGTTACGATGGCGACGCGCTGAGTTTTTTTCTAAACTCCCGGACGCAGAACACACCACCGTGCTATTAGTGGAAACTTCTGCTCCGCTACGCTTCCCAAATTCTTACTCTACGAGTTGCGAATTACAGGGAAGGCGCAGCGTGCGCTATAATCCGTATAGCGGACGCGTTTATGGGAGCTGGACCCAGACGGACCATCAAGGCGGTGTGCGCCGCGATCCAGCAGGACGTCGCGGTGCTCGAGAAGACCGTGGCGACGCCGAACGCGTGGCTCGAGGCTCTCTGGTCGTGCTCCTACTCGAAGGCGCTCACGTCTGGCTTGGCTTTCAAGGAATGCGTGGACCGCGCGCAAACGGCCAAGCGCGCGAATCTGGCGCGCGAGCAGCTGCGGCGCCTGAACGAGGCCGTTCGTGACCAGACCGACGGATCGTACGGCACGAACCGCTACGGCTACCGTACCGTGGTGCCATCTTCCTGGTCGGACGAGCGCAAAAACCGGGTGAGATCACTCGTCGCGCAAACAGTTGGCCCCGGGGGCAACTGTCTGGGCAAAGACGAGGCGTGGGCGCACGCACGCGTGGTGGGCATTGACGAGATTCGTCGTCATGCGCCGGTCGACGTCGAATCTCTCAAATTCCTCAGCCGCACGAGCTTTGAGCTCATGGTGCGGAAACTCCGAGAGTGCCGATGGACGCTTCTTGTATACGGGGCCCACCTCGTCTATCGAGGCGGGTTCGTCGGCGCGAATCCAGCGGAAGCCGCGACCGTCGACATGCCTTCTTCTGATATGTACGAGTTGTTTCAGCAGGACAGCGCGCGCGCCCCAGCTGTCGAAGTTGACCCGTTCTTCGACCAGCTCGAAGCTGGCTTGAAGGACTTTTTCGGTGCCGAGACGATACAATCAGAGCCATGGATCCAGCAGTGGGCCAACAAAAACGCTCGACTTTCCATGGATGAATACAACAGACTTTTCAAGGGGTCACGACAGACAATTCGAGAACGCTTTCACGATGAATCGCTGCCTCCCGCGACGCTTCGCGGCACCGTTCGCAATTGGGACAAGCACGACGACTTGAGTCTGACAAACAATAATTGCGCTCCAGAGTTAGCCAAGCCAATGCGTCCTGCCGCCATCATCGACCTCACTTTCCCCGACGACGCCGAGTCGGTCCCGCAAGCGCCGAGCGCCTGGCCGGACCGAGATCCGCACAGCGAGGATTTTCGCTTCATTCCGTTGCAAACGGCTTCGTGCCGAACCGGGACTACCACAAGCATGACCGCGGCGTTGAAAATTAGCACCGACATCCGAAAATTGTCTTCGAACCTCAGCCGGGCCACTCTGTTCGTCCCCGTCATCCCCGACGTCGTCGATGTCGTTCTCGATTGCTACATCTCGGGCCTTTCTTAGGATCTCTCTCATTTTAAAAACTCCATGATTTACATCACCTTCTCGAGCGCCTGGTCGCGCCGCCGCTCCTGGGCGGCGACGGCGGCCTTCTTCGTCGCGAGGCAGTCCGCGAGGAGCTTCGCGTCGGCCCGGCAGTCCGCGCAGGCGACGGCGCGGTCGAGGATGAGGACGCACTTGTCGTACTGGCGCAGCGCGAAGAGCGCCCGGGCGACGCGGTAGTTCCACTTGCCGACGGGGTCGCCGGGCTTCGCCGTGCGCACGGCGCCCGCGGCGTAGGTGAAGGCCTGGGCCCAGTTCTTCTTCTTCAGGTAGACGGCCGCGAGGTTGCCCGACGCCTTGGCGTCGTCCTCGTCGATCTTCAGCGCGCCGAGGTAGGCGAGCTCGGCGTCGTCGAGCTTGCCCGCGCGGAAGGCCTCCGAGCCCCGGTCGCGGAGGAACGAGCCCTCGGCGGGGCCGTAGTCCTTGCCGAGCTTCTTGGGCGCGTCGCAGACGACGGTCTCGCTGTAGCGCTTGTCGAAGACGGCGTGCGACGGCGGCGCGCCGCGCGGCGGCGGCTCGGGCGCCGCGTCGAGGCGCACGGGCGCGTCGCACGCGACGACCCGGTACGAGTCGAGGTCGCCGAGCTTGGGGTCGAGCCGCTTCTTCGGCCGCGGCGCGCCGCCGATCTTCTTCGGCGGCGCGACCGTCGCGAGCTTCCGCGGCGCATCGCAGACGCGGTCCTTGTAGTAGCGCTGGTCGTGCAGCGCCTTGTTCGTCGCGCCGGGCGCGCCGTCCTTGCGCGGACCCAGGTCCGGCTGCGCCTGCTGCGGCGGCGGTGATGTCGCCTCGAGCTCCGACATCGGTCGAGCTCTGCGGCGCTCGGGAGACGATTTGCCACTGCGGTTCACGCAAAAAGAACAACATGCAACATCCCCTTCAACATTAATCGCCGCGTGCGTTTTTTCGCCGCGTCTCGACCGCCCACGTTACGCAAGATGCCACCAGTTATACCGAATGAACGTCGCGGGAGCGTCCTGTGTACAAAGACGCCAGGGGCAAAAAGCCGCGCCGCGTCGCCCGCGCGCCGGTCCGCGGGACGTCGCGACCACCTTCCGCCAAACAAGAAGTGAGACACAGCAAACACAGACCCAAAATGCGCACACAAGACAAGTAAAAGCGAAAGGAAATTAGGCCCGACGGCCTAAAGCTCGTTCTTGTAGGAGATGGCGCCGTACTCGGGCATGCCGCGGTAGCCCGTGTTGGGTCGGTCGCGCTGGAGGATCTTGTCGTAGGCGAGGACGACGACCGAGATGACGACGATCGTGATGTAGATCCAGGCGGCCGCGAAGCACTGCTTGGCGGCCGTCGCGGGGTGGTCGACGCCGACGACCTGCGATCGCGCGCGCGCGCGGCGTTCCGCGACGCGCGGCGGAGGCGTTCGCGGCGCGGGGCCGCGGACGTAGAGCGGCTGCCGGTTGAGGAGCGAGCCGATGAAGCAGAGGAAGACGACGCCCGTCGAGGCGAAGACGGAGCAGCACTTGGCGCAGCCGACGGCGCCTGCGCGGGCGCGCGCGTCGCGGGACGGGTCGCGCGCGGGCCGTCGGCGCGGTGCCGCGCGAGGGCCGGGCTGCTGCATGACGGACGACGCGCGGCCGACTGGGTAGCGGCGCGCGGCGACGAGAGGCTGGCCGCGGCGCCGGCGCGGCTCGAGCTCTTGACTCTGCCGCAGTCGCGCCGCCAGACTCGCCGGAGAGCGCCGTCGCCGCGATGCCGTCGACCAAAAAAAAACCGGAGGTGGAGAAGGCGGACCAGTGCCTCCAGGCCGTGGTCATCGCCGAGGCCTTCGACGGCGCGTTCCGGCCCGTGGGCGCGCCCAAGGCGCTGATGGAGCTCTGCGGGCGGCCCGTGCTCGAGTACACGCTCCGCTTCCTCGCGTCGGCGGGCGTCGGCGAGATCTTCGTGCTGTCGTCGGCGCACCACGTCGGCGCCGTGCGCGCCTTCGTCGAAAAGCGGAGCGGCGAGGGCGACTGGATCACCGCGCGCGACGGCTCGCCCGTCGCCGTGCGGTGCCTGTCGATGGCGGGCTGCTCGACCGCGGGCGACATGCTCCGGGAGCTCGACCAGCGCGGCGTCGTCAAGTCGGACCCGTTCCTCATGTGCGGCGGCGACGTCGTCGCGCGCTGCGACAACATGGACGCGATCATCGCGGACCACGTCGAGCGCAAAAAGACCAAGGACGCGGACGCCACTCTAACGATCCTCATGGCGCCCGGCGGCGACCGCTTTCGCCGCTGCGTGCCCCTCGGCGGGCCCGACGAGGATCTGGTCGTGTGCCTCGACGCCGCGTCGGGCCGCGTGCTCGCGTGGCACGCGAGCCGGAGCGCGGGCCAGGCGAAGCTCGCGTTCCCCGTCGAGGCGCTCTGCCAGGCACAGCGCACAAAAATCCGCGCGGATCTGGTGGACTGCGGCGTCGACGTCTGCTCCCAGGAGGTGCTCTTCCGCTACAGCGAGAACTTCGACTACCAGGACGCGCGCCGCGACTTCCTCCACAACGAGGTCGCGAACACGGAATTGGGGCAACGGGCGTACGCGCGCGTCTTGGGGCCCGCGGAGGGCTTCGGCGTCAAGGTCGCGGACCCGCGCGCGCTCGACTTCGTCGCGCGGGACCTGCTGTGCGGCTGGTACGCGCCGGAGCTCAAGCCCAAGGGTGTCGAAGTTACACAGGCGTGCTGGCGCGATCCCGCGGACGGCAAGCCCCCGCGGTCGACGACGGTCAAAGCGCCCGTGTCGCTGGGCGCGGGCTGCGCCCTCGGCGCGGGCTGCGTCGTCCGCGAGTCGACGCTCGGCGCGGGCTGCGTCTTGGGCGACGGCGCGGTCGTCGCGGGCTCGCATCTCGGCGCGGACTGCGTCGTCGGCGCGGGCGCGGCCCTCGACCAGTGCCTCCTCGCCGCGGGCGTCGAGGTCGGGGCGAACGCGACCGTCGCCAGGGGCTGCGTCCTCGGCGAGGGCGTCGTCGTCGGCGCCGGCGTGCACCTGCCGCCCTTCTGCCGCGTGACGGCGAAGCGGCCGCGCGACGCGGCGGCGGCGGCCGCGAGCGACGCGGCGCTCGTCGGGCCCGACGGCGTCGGCCGCGCCTTCGCCGAGGCCGACGACCCGCCGAGCGACGACGACGACGACGACTTCGGCGGCGCCGCGGCGGGGCGCGACGACTACGACTCCGACGACACCGACGACTCGACCAAAAAGACGCGGAGCCGCGACCCGACGCTCGGCCTCATGGCGAACGCGGCCGCGGCCGAGGCGCGCGAGACCAAGTGGCACGCCTACCCCGACGACGACGACGACGATGAGCTCACCGTCGACGGCGGCTTCGACGACGGCGAGGCCTTTGGGGGCGGCGACGACGACTTCGGCGGCGGCGACGCGCCGGCGTTCGCGGCGCCCGCGGGCGCGAGCGACGCGGCGTTCATGGAGACGGTGCGCGAGATGATCAAGACGGGCCACAAGAACGGCTCCGCCGTCGACAGCATGGTCATGGAGATCAACTGCTACAAGCTCAGCGAGAACCGGTCCTTCCGCGACGCCGCGCGGCCCGCGCTCGAGGCCGTGCTCGACATCGCGTTCGCCGAGGGCGACGGCCACAAGAACGCGGTGCTCAGCGCCCTCAAGGCCCAGCTCTCGCGCTGGCAGCCCCTCCTCGCCAAGGTCCTCGGCTTCGGCGACGTCGCCGAGGAGCGCCACGCGGCGGCCTGCCTCGAGGCGCTCGCGCCGCTCGGAGCCGGGCCACGCGCGCGCGCTCCTCGCCGACCCGGCGACATCCTCTCCGGCGAGGGCATCCTCGCCTGGGGCGAGGCCGCGGCGCCGGAGCTCCGCGCCGCGGCGCCCGTCGCCCAGCTCCTCGACTTCCTCGAGCAGTCCGACTCCGAGAGCGACGAGGACAGCGACTAAACCTTTCACGGGACCGCGATGATGAGCTTCCCGGCGTTCGCGCCCCGGTAGATGTCCTCGAGCGCCCGGGGCGCCGCCGCGAGGCCGCGGCGCACCTCCTCGCGGTGGACGAGGGACCCGTCGGCGACGAGGCGCGCGAGGTCGTCGAGCGCCGCCGGGAACGCGGCCGCGTGGTCGAAGACGAGGAAGCCGGCCATGGACGCGCGCTTGACGAGGAGGTGGCGCTCGAGGCGCAGGCCGCGCGGCGGCGGGGACCACGCGGCCGTGCCCGCCGTCCCGACGACGACGACGCGCGCGCCGACGTTGAGGAGCGGCGCGACGGCGTCGAGCTGGTCGCCGCCGACCATGTCGTAGAAGACGTCGATCCCGTCGGGGCACGCCGCGGCGACGGCCGCGCCGAGGTCGCCCGTCGCCTTGTAGTCGACGCAGGCGTCGTAGGCGAACGCGTCGACGCAGAGCGCGGCCTTGGCGGCGCCGCCGGCGACGCCGACGGCGCGGCAGCCGGCGCGCTTCGCGAGCTGGCCCACGGCGGAGCCTGCGGAGCGTCGTCGCGCGTCCGGGCGCGCGAGCGCCCCCTCGCTCGACGCCGGGCGGCGCCGACGGCGCCCGCGGCCGTCGAGCAGAGCACGGTCTCGCCGGCCTTCGGGCGGCCGACCTCGCGGAGGCCGAGGTAGGCCGTGAGGCCGTTGATGCCCAGCACGCCGAGCGCCAGCGACGGCGGCGCCGTGGCCTCGTCGACGACGCGGAACAAGGGCTCAGCCGGGTCCGCGATGCCTACGGACGTCGCGTTTCCTGGTGCGAGATGTCGCTCGACGCGGTGCGGCGCCGTACTCCTGCCAGCCCGTGCGGCCGGCGACGAGCGCGCCGACGGCGACGCCGTCGAGCGCCGACGCGACGACCTCGCCGACGCCGAAGGCGAACATGGTGTCCCCGGTGGGCACCGACGCGTAGTTCTGCACCGTCGAGATCCAGCCCTTCATCGCCGGCTCCACGGAGACGAAGCGGTTGCGCACGAGCACCGTGCCGTCGCGCAGCTCGGGCAGAGGGGCGTTTTTCTCCACGACAAAATGGGACGCGAGCGGGTTCGCCGCGGCGCGCTCCGCGAGCACGACGCGCTGCTGCGTCGTCGGCAGGGCTGAGAAGCCGCGGCGAAGCTGCTGCGACTTCGCGATGCGAAGTAGCAGTGCCATCGCGATTGAGAGGCAGCCCGTCGGCACCATCGGCGCGGGGCGGCATTACCGAGGAGTTGCCGCTGCGCCGGGCTCTTCATCAACAGCGACTGTCAAGGGAGCTATGGTAAAATTGACGGCCCGTCGGGCAGTCGTGCTCGGCGCCAGGAGCTCACCAGAGAGTGCCGACTTGGAAATTCCTTCGCGCGACGGTGATGCGGAGTTCTGCGACGCGACCGCGATCGCGCTCGAACAGAGGTCGCGCGCGCGTTCTCGGGCGCTAACAACGACGGGGGCTCATGTCAGATCGGCGCCCGCGGCGCGCAGCCTCGCGGCGGGCCGCGGTGCCGATGCCCGCCCTTCTCGGATGCGCGTTGCCGCTGGCGCTGCTTATGCACCGGGAACCCGCGTCGCCTGCGTCGCTTCGCCTGCGACGGCCGCGTCGGGGATTGCTCGGGCGCCCGACGTCGGGGCCGCGCGCGCGCCGTCCAGCGTGGGCGCCGGCGCGAAGCGCGACGTGACGCCAGTCAACGGGTTCGCCCGAACAGTTCCGGCGGCGGCGGCGTCTACGGCGGCGACCTCGGCGATGTCGACGGCGTGCCCCGCGCCTCCAGTCCGTCGGCCTCTTCGGCAACGCCGGCCTCCTCACGGCCGCGGACTCCTACCTCGTCGGCGACAACATGCGCATCGAGGTCGAGGACATCGTGGCGGGCTAGTGCGACATCGTGCCCGGCGGCTTCTCCTACGAGATGCAGACGGTCCAGATCGACGCGCTCTCGAACGCGTCGGGCTCCTTCAAACGCAGCTTCGAGGACCAGGAGACGGGATACATCGCTGTCGACGCGCCCGTGATCGAGTCCAAGTACGCCGCCGAGGCCCTCGACACCATCTTCACGGCTGACGTCGTCGCCGAGGGCTACGAGCCGTCCAAGGGCATCCACCGCTTCACGGTCACCTACGCGCGCGAGGTGCGCACGCTCACGCAGGGCGCGCAGGACGCGCCGCTCATGGTCGCCTACATCGGCGACGTGTCGCCGTCGTCGACGGCCGATGTCGCCGTCGCCGTCGCCTCCGGCGCGTCCCTCGACGTGACCTGGAACGGCGCCACGTACGCCGCGGAGCGCGTCGCCGCGGTCGCCGCTTTCGCCGCCGTTCTTCGCCGTGCCGCCGTCGTCGGCGCCGCCCAGGCCGGCGCCGCCCAGGAGGAGCGTCTCTGCTGCTCGCCGGAGCTCGGCGGTGGCCCCGCGCCGCCGTCGAGCCGCTCGGCGGCTCGACGACGCGACGCGCACGCCGTGGTGGCTCACCCCGCTATTGTAGCCGGAAAACCAAGTGACGAGATATGGCGGGGCGTGGCCCGCGCTTGTGTATGTCTCCCTCGGGCGGATAAGCGACGCCTATAAGTCAACCCACGCTCCAGAACGACCGGAACGGCCCGCGCGTTTTCGAGGTCGCCGCGGAGGGCCCGCGCGCCGGAATGGAAATCTTTTGCCAATCGCTCCCCACCGCAATCGCGCCTGGATTACCCCCACGGCCACGCTCCTTCGCATCGGTTGTAAGCTGGGCGGAGCCGTAGGGGTCCTAGAAGCGGGCGGACGGGCCGTCAAAGAGTGCTCCTTTCATGCAACACAAAAATTTCAGCCAGCCACGCAGTGCGCTTGCAGCACCTCGCCCGCGCTCGCGAGTCACCCCTATCGTCTCCTCTGTTGTCGCGCACGCCCCGTGCAACAACACCTCGGCTGCGGGAGCGCTTTGGCACGCGCCTCAGAGGTGTCACTAGCGCTGGTGCAAGCGCTGCATGCACGGCTTCGCCCCTAGACGCCGCACGGGACTCGGCGGACCAGTCACTTGGCTGGTGCTCTGGGCGTCGGCAGCGGTCAGCTTCACGCCGCGCTGCACGCGCCTCCGAGGCGGCTCCATGGTCGACAACGCCCCGCGCCTGGTTACGGGCAGCGGCGGCGCGCCGACCGCTGCCGTCAGCACTTCGGCCAACGCGGGCGACGGGTCGGGGCTCGACTCGCTCTGCACGCGCGGCGACGTCGCCATCTCCGCGGTAGTCACGGAGCGGTCCGGCCTCGCGGACGTGCCGCTCGGCGGGCCGCTGACGGCGGAAGGCCAGGAGCAGCACGTGCGGCCGGCCGCGCCGCCCGCGATCGCGACGGCGCTCACGCTCGGCGCCGTGTCCACGGAGGTGCACCTCGCGCGCGGCGGCGAGCTCGGCGACGCGGCGCCCGGGGGACACCTTCGCGCCCGCGTTGAGGAGCTCCGGCGCGACCTGGCGGCCCGGCCGGTGGCCGGCCGGTCGGCGTCCGAGCTTTGGCGCGGCGCGGTCGGCGAGCCTTTGACGGAGACCGTCTCGTTGCGGAGCCGCGGCGCGGAGGCCATGGACACCGGCGGCGGCGGCGGCGCGCCCATGGGCGTCGACGTGCCGAAGCTCATGAAGGATATGGTCGAAGCCAAGTGGGAGGAGGTTGAGAAATATGTGGGGCAGAAAGGAGGAACGTTCGCGAAGCATAAAGACGCCTCGGGTGCGTTCGTACGCTACGACAAGGCGCGCTTCGAGGTCAACTGGGGCGAGGGCCTCCCGCCGGAAGGCCTGGCGAGCGAGGAGCTGTTGGAGGAGCTCACTGCGTGCTCGATCGAGATGCTCAGGCGGAAACTCGAGCAGACGGACGCGTCGTCGTCGTCGCCGCCTCGAAACTGCGAGGGCCGCGCGGACTTCGAGGGCGTCGAGAGCGGCGTCGAGGGCGTGTCCAGCGGCTTCGGCGAGGAGGGCGCCGTGGACGAGGAGCTCCTGAAGGCCGTGGCGGGCGCCGCGGCGGTTATGACCTACGCGTTGATCAGCGGCCGCGACGGCGTCGTGGTGACGTTGTGGATCAACGGAGGGTGGCTCAAGCTCCACGGCGGCCATTGCGCGGCTCCGGGTCCATTTCTCGCGTGCAAACGCGCGACATATCCGAAAAACTCGCGTGTCCCTCGCAGACAACACGCATTACTACCTCGTCCTCGCGATCGAGGAGGGCACGTGCGAGCTCTCGACGTTCCTCAAGTCGAGCTTCGACAAGCTCGGCCTGCCCATGCAGTGGCGCGGCTCGGAGACGACGGGCCGCGTCGGGCGCGCGACGGCGTCCTTCGCCCGGGACTCCGCGCGCGCGGGTCGTTCTTCGCGCGCGTCGTTCCTCGCGCGTTCTTCGGATCACGGTGCTTCTACGTCAGGTACTTCCGGGAACTGGCGGCCCTCTGCGCCTTCACGCTCGACCCGGCGGAGGCAGAGCGCCTCTGCGCCAATTTCAGGCACCTCATATATAACCCGGACAAGGAGGGCACGGGCAACTCGCTCTACGAGCACGACGAGGTCCTCCAGAAGTACGCGGCCCGCGTCGCCGGCGGCAAGCTCCAGGCCCTGCTCGACGTGTTCAAGGCGCCGAAGTTCGGCGCCCAGGGCGACGCCGGCGCCAAGAAGACGAACCGCAACGGCGAGACGCGCAACTCCAAGTCGCACGCCATCTGCGAGGCGGACGGCAACTTCTACGTCCGCGAGCGCTCGACGGACTTCGACATCGCCTACTTCGACTCCCACGCCAAGGCCGCGGGCCTCGTCTGCGTCCTCGACTCGCCCATCCTCGACGTCTACTTCCGCCGCGCCGTCGCGCGCCTCGACGGCTTCCTCGCGCCCTGCCTCCGCGACTTCGTCCGCGAGGCCGCTCCGCTGCGCGCGTTCTGCGCGGAGCTCGACCTCGGCGACTTCGCGACCTGGGCCAAGGGCGCCTCCATGATGGAGGCCGCCGCTACGCCGGCGCTCTACCTCGAGGGCAAGGTCGACAAGCGCTACATGGCGGACACGATCAAGCTCGCGCTCAACCAGGGCCTGCGCGGCGACTACGCGCTCCTGTGCCGCTTCCACAAGCTCGTCTACGACTTCCGCAAAGGCAAGAACGTCGCGCTCGCGCGCTGGTTGGACGTCTTCGAGGACGTGCGCGACGACCTCGAGAAGCTCGACGCGTCGATCTCCTGGAGCCCGCGCGGACCCGCGTAGCTCGGTTCTTCTTCGCGTCCGCGCGCCGACGCGCGCGGCCCCTCCGCAGGTTCATCGCGCGGCTCGAGAACCTCGTCGCGCGCGCGCGCCGCGAGCACGGCATGAAGCGGGGCGACGACGACGACTTCGAGGAGGACGACGACTTCGAGGACGACGACGACTTCGAGGAGTTGCACGCGATCGCCGAGGAGTCGCCCGCCGAGGCGGACCTCGACACGAGCGTCGGCGCGGCGCGCGTCGACGCGTCTTCCAACGGCGCGGGCGCGTCCGTCGGCGCCGGCGCTTCGACGACCGCTTCGGCGTTCGCGCGGCCGCGGCTCCCGATCCCGACGGAGGCGGAGCTCCGCGAGAAGCTCGCGGCCGACGTCATGGGCGTCGTCTTCTCAGGGCGGCTCGACGCGGATCCGCGGCGCTACGACTGCGCGACGTGGCGCCTGCGGGCGCTCGTCGAGCGCAAGCTAAAGGTGCTGGGGCACCGCGACAAGTGGATGCAGGAGGCGTTCGCGAGCGTCGTCGCGGCCCAGGGCAAGGAGGCCAAGGCGCGGAAGGCGCTGGCTGCCGCGGAGCTGAAACTTGGTCTCGCGGTGCTCGGCCTCGGATCGTCCGATCGCGACCTCGAACAGGTCGCGGCCGCGAAGCAGATGCTCGCCGTGGCCGCGGACTGCGTCGCGGCCAAGGTCGCCGTGGTGAGCGCGAGGGAGTGCCTCTGGCGCGACGCGGAGGAGAAGAAGATGGAGCGCTTCGTGGAGCGCTTCGCGGAGCTGAGCTTCGTGCACCGCGAGGGCGCGCGGCGGCCGAAGAAGCGCGCGGCCGCGGAGGAGCCCGAGAGCGGGTCGAAGCAGAAGAAGGCCAAGTCCGCGCCGAAGAAGGCGAAGGCGCCGAAGCCGAAGAAGGCCAAGTCCGCGCCGAAGCCCGACTGGTCCGAGTCCCACATCAAGAAGCTCACGGCCGGCCGGTGGAAAGGCAAGCTTTTCCGGCTCAAGAAGCTCTGGGCCGACGGCGCCGGCATCAAGGACTGGAAGCAGTTCCGCACGGACAACTTCGTCATCTTCTGCGACTTCACGGCCGGCGAGCTCAAGAAGAAGTACATGGAGATGGGCGAGCTCTAGGCAACTAATTCCTAACGAAGCTTCAAAAGTCTGGGCACGGGTCGCTCGAGGCCGCTGTGCGCGGAGTTCGCCGCCCACGTTACGGCCCGGCGGCGGCGACGCGGCGTCGATGTCGAAGGCGGCCTCGACGTCGAAGGTGACGACGAGGTGGGCGTCGTCGGCCGTGACGAGCTCGGCGTTGCGAACTGGATGCGCCAGCAGTAGCGGCGACGCCGTCGACGCCGAAGCCGTCGCCACCGTCGCCGCCGCGGACGCAACGTCGCCGTAGACGCGCGGCTTACGCACCCAGGCGTCGATGTCCGCGTTGCAGGCGCCGGCGCCTGCGCCGTCGAACGTGTTGCACATCCTTCGTGGCCTGGCGGCTCGGCAGCGTCCGCGCCGGGGACCCGTTCGGGTCCGCGCCGCCGCCCCCGCGGAGGCGCAACGCGCTCGTCGATGCCGCGGACACGTCCTGGGCGCTCGGCGCGCGGCGCCCGGCTCCGCGGCGCCACGCGGCCTTGCGGCGCCCGGCCCGTGGCCGCGACGTCGTTCCCCGAGGCGGCGGGGACGGCCTCCCCGACGCGCAGGACCGTCGCGCGGCCGCGGCGCCGCCCGAGCGGACCCCGGGCGAGGCGCCGACGGGCCTCGGGCGGGCCACGAGGCACGGCTGCGCCACCGCGGTAGCCCCGAGGACCATGCTGGCCAAAGTGCCCGAAACCGCCACCTTCGCGGCCCGCGCGCGCCCCGGTCGTCGGCGTTTTTGGCGCACGAGCGCTGCGGCGGCCTGGCCGGGGTGTGTGTCGAGCCGCATGAGAAGAAAGTGGGTCTTTTGGGCAGCATCGAGTGCTTCCCTGCCGAAACTCGGGCCATCGCCCTTGCTTGACGCTAAGGTGCCGTAAAGAGACCAGCTCGAGCCGAGGCCACGAAGAGCGCCGGCACCTCGCGTGCATCTCCGCTCGTCGCAAGCGCCGCTCGAGTGGGCATCTCCGCATCCGCCATCTCGTCGAGTGGGCGCGCGCCGCGCCGCACCGCATCCGCCTTTCTTGCGCCGCGCCGCATCCGCCTTTCTTTGCGCCGCGCCGCAAGCGCCGCGAAGCACCAATGGTCGCGCGCGTCTGGCTGCAGCCGTTCGTGGACGCGCAGAACGGGCGGCGGGAGACGCTGTGCGTCGTCTACCTCGAGCACAACAACCTCTCCGGCGCCGTGAGCCTCCAGATCCGCGCGCCCGGGTCCGAGGTCGTCGTCGACGGCGGCGTGGGCCGCGTCGTCGTCGGCAAGAGCGCGACGATTCCGTTCAGCGTCGCCGCGTGCGTGGGCCGCGTGTCGATCCTGCCCAAGGCGACGGGCTTCGACTACCTGCTCAACTGGGCGGGCAACGGCGTCGCCGAGGTGCAGCAGCGCACCATCGAGTCCCTCGAGCCGCTCATGCCGCGGGACGTGACCGTCGAGGTCGGGCCCTCGGTCGAGTGCCACAGCGGCAAGTCGTTCTACAAGCTCGTCGTCTCGGCGAACGGCGAGACGCGCGAGCCAGCGTCCTGCATCCGCGACGATTTTCGAGGGATTTTGACCGGAAAAACGATAAACGTCGTTACCGATGCACGTGGTAGGCGCGAGCTCACGAAGCGGTTCAGCGAGTTCCAGGACTGCTACGAGCGCGTCAAGGACGCCTACGCCGGCTCCCACCTCCGGAGCAACGTCCCCGCGCCGCCGAAGAAGTGCCTCAACCCGTTCCAGAACCAGCTCGACCCGGACTTCGTCGAAAACCGCCGCGTCGAGCTCAACGACTTCGCCAAGAAGATGGTCGTCCTGCCCCGCGTCCTCGTGAACCCGGCCCTCCTCGACTTCCTCGGCCTCGCGCTCCAGCCCATCTAAGCGGGAAGTAGACGAGGTTTCGAGTTCACGCGATGGGTCTCGCCTTTTTGGGCTGGCCTCGCTGCGCTCGCGTCGGCCGGTGCCGCGGTCGGGCCCAGACAGATCCCTGCGGGCGGCCGGCGAGCGGCGCGCGGCAACATAGCGGAAATGAAGCGTCAATATCAGATCAATATCGGCCAGCCGCCACATCAGAGCTGAGCGCATCGATCTCAAGTGAGAGCATGACGACGCGCTCCAGCATGCTCGCGCTCGCCCTAGGCGCTCTGACCGCGGCGTTCACGTCGCCGCCGCTGAACGTCCGCGCTCCCGCGGCGCGGCGCGCGCCGGCGACGACGATCGTCACGGCCGCGGTGGAATCGCCGGTCCAGGCCATCTTCGAGCAGGTCCGCGGCGGCTCGGTGCTCAGCGGCGAGGCCAAGTCGCTCCTCAAGGGCGCGGAGCAGTGCGTGGGCCGCGTGAACGCGCTCGAGGCCGACATGGAGGCGCTCAGCGACGCGGGCCTGCGCGACCTCGCCAAGACGCTCGGCGACGAGCTCTCGGCGCTCGACCCGTCGCGGGAGGCGTCGGACGCGCAGGTCGCGTCGGCCTTCGCCCTCGCGCGCGAGGCGGCCTGGCGCGTGCTCAAGCTGCGGGCCTACGACGTCCAGCTCCTCGGCGGCTACGTCATGTCGCGCGGCGCGCTCGCGGAGATGGCGACGGGCGAGGGCAAGACGCTCGCGGCCGTCGCGCCGACGCTCCTGGGCGCGCTGCGGCGCCGCGGGGCCCTCGTCGTGACGGCCAACGACTACCTCGCGCGGCGCGACGCCGACGGCGTCGGCCTCGTGCTGCGCTTCCTCGGCCTGAGCGTGGGCCTCGTCGAGTCGTCGATGGCCGTCGGCGGCGACGACCGCCGCGACGCGTACGCGAGTGACGTGACCTACGTGAGCAACGCGGAGCTCGGCTTCGACTACCTGCGGGACCAGCTCGCCCTCGAGGAGGCCGAGCTCGTCATGCCGTCGCGGCCGGGCGCGTCCGCCGTCGAGGAGCTCTTCTACTGGTGCCTCGTCGACGAGGCCGACTCCATCCTCATCGACGAGGCGCGGACGCCCCTCATCATCTCCGAGACGACGGCGGCGCCCAAGGCCAAGTACGACGTCGCGCGGGACCTCGCCGACGGCGTGCTCCAGAAGGGCCGCCACTACGACGTCGACGAGAAGGGCATGTCCGTGATCCTGACCGAGGCGGGCTACGGCGAGTGCGAGCGCACGCTCGGCACGTCCATGTTCGACCCCAAGGACCCCTGGGCGCCCTTCGTCCTCGGCGCGCTCCGGGCCAAGGAGCTCCTCCTCAGGGACCGCGACTACCTCGTCGACGGCGCCGGCGCGGTCAAGCTCGTCGACGCGTTCTCCGGCCGCGTGCTCGAGGGCCGGCGCTACGCGGACGGCCTCCAGCAGTCCATCGAGGCCAAGGAGGGGCTCGTCTGCTCGGACCAGACGCGGCCGACGGCCCAGGTCACGTTCCAGGCCCTCTTCCGCACGCTGAGCTCGCGCCTCGCGGGCATGACGGGCACGGCGCTGAGCGACGGCAAGGAGCTCGGCGACGTCTACAAGCTCACGGTGGTCCCCATCCCGACGGCCTTGCCGATCGCGCGCAAGGACTACGACGACGCCGTCTACCGGACCGTCGACGCGAAGGAGCGCGCGGCCGCGGCCGAGGTCGTCCGCGCGCACAAGGACGGCCGCCCCGTGCTCGTGGGCACGACGTCCGTGGAGCAGTCCGACGCCTTCGTGGAGCGCCTCTTGCGCGACTACGGCCTCGCCGCGTCGAAGCTCTCCGCGCGGCCCGACGCGGCCGCGCGCGAGTCCGCGGTCATCGCGCAGGCGGGCCGCCTCGGCGCGGTCACCGTCGCGACGAACATGGCGGGCCGCGGCACGGACATCAAGCTCGGCGGGTCGGCGTCCGACCTGGCGAAGCTCGTCGCCGAGTCGCGCCTGCTGGACGAGGACTACGCGGCGCTCCTCGAGGTCGGCGCGCGCGACGACTCGGCGATCGCGATCGGCGCGGACGCGACCGCGGCGCTCGAGGCCGCGGCGGCCGCGGCGGCCGACGCCGTCGGCGGCGCGGCCAACCTGGACCGCGACGCGGCGCTCCAGCTCCTCGCGCTCGCCGCCGAGGGCCGCGCGATCGCGTCGAAGAGCCCCGCGGTCGCCGCGCTCCGGAAAGCTTTGGCGGCGCTCGAGGCGGACCTCGGCGCCGCGCTCGACGCCGAGCGGGCCGCGGTCGTGCGCGCCGGCGGCCTCTACGTCGTCGGCACGGAGCGCCACGAGTCCGTGCGCATCGACAACCAGCTCCGGGGCCGCTCCGGCCGCCAGGGCGACGCGGGCGCGAGCCGGTTCTTCGTCTCCGTCGACGACCCCATGTTCAAGACCTTCGGCGGCGACCAGATCGCCAAGCTCATGGAGACCTTCCGCGTCGGCGACGACCTGCCCCTCGAGGCCAAGTCCGTCACCGAGAACCTGGGCAAGATCCAGGCCAAGGTCGAGGCCTACAACGCGGACCTCCGCGTCAACGTGCTCAAGTTCGACGACGTCCTCGACGGCCAGCGCCGCGCGCTCTACGCGACGCGGCGGCGCCTGCTCCTCGACGGCGCCGACGACGCGGCGGCGAACGCGCGCGAGTGGGCCGCGGACGCGCTCCTCGCCATCGCGAAATCCGTCGACCGCGACGCCGGCGCCGACGGCGACGTCGACGCGCTCCTCGCGGCGCGCCTCGACGCCTTCTTCGGGCCCGGCGCGCTCCGCCTCGACGCCGACGCCCTCGCGGCCCTCGGCGAGGGCGAGGCGACGAAGGTCGCCGCGCTGCCCGCCGTCGCGGCCTGCGTCGACGGCCTCCTCGATGCCGTCGCGGAGAAGCGGCCCGCGCGGCCGCCGACGGAGTCCTTCACGAAGCTCGCGCTCATCCGCCTCGACAAGCTCTGGGCCGACCACCTCCTCAACATGAACTACCTCAAGGAGTCCGTCCAGCTCCGCACGCTCCAGCAGACCGACCCCTTCCAGGAGTACCAGCGCGAGGGCTTCGAGCTCTTCACCGCGCTCCAGACGAAGATCAAGGCCGACACGATCTACTCCCTCCTCCAGATCGCCAAGGAGTAAATCGAGGGGCGTCGCGGGTGTGCGCGTTGCCAGGCCCGGCTCGAGAGGCAGGCCTAGAGGCGTCTCGATGTACCAGCGCCCCGCCGCGAATCTGCCGCGAACGCGGCGAGTCTTCAACGCTCGCCAACTGATCGCTCTTCCTCCGCGCGCGCGCGGCGTCAAAACTATGTGGGGGTACAACATACATGTCGTCCGGGCCGCCCGTCATACCATTCTCCACATTATGGGGCATGGGGGGCCTCCGGCGCGCGCCATCCCCGGCGCGGCGGGCCACGGCCGACGCGCTCGGCGCGAACACGCGATTGCGATCGTACTACTAGTAGTAAAGTTTTAGCCTTTCAAGAGCCTCCGAGTGCGTAGCGTCCCCGATCGAGAGCCAAGCTCCGCGGGCCGCGTCAGGAGCCAAGCTCCGCGCCAGGGACGTCTGGGCCCTGCAACAGGGACGATCCCGGCCCCTCAAGAGGAGCCCCCCCGGGGCCCGGTGCGGCTTTAGTGCCCCCCCCAGTGCCCGCGCCCGCCCAAGGTAGGCGCGTAGGCGGGGTGCGTCGCCTAATGCGCGAGAGAGAGAGCCACACGCTGCTCGATCTCGGGTCTCCTGATCCTTGCGCGTCTCTCAGGACTTGTTTCCTTCGCCATGCCCCGCCGCCGCCTCTTTGTTTAGCGTGCGTAGGACGCCTTCTGAGCCTCTGCCCGCCCGCATCCGCAAGCACGCGCCGCACCATCGTCGACAATCGCGCTTACCCCACCCCCGCGTAGGCCGCGCTCGCGCCCCAGAGCGCGTCGGCGAGCGCGTCCGCGTCGCGCGGGAGGCCCGGCGCCTCCGCGCGGCAGTCGGCGACGTAGGGGCTCCGCCCCGCGTTCTCCGCCGCGGCGAGCTCGGGCGCGAGGGCCGCGCGCCCGAGCCCGCGGCGGCGCCGCCCGCGCCGCCGCCGGAGCCGGAGCCGGCTCCCGCGCCGCCCGCGCCGAGCCCCGCGCCGGAGCCCAAGGGCGGCGCCGTCGTCGTCGTCGCGCCCGTGGGGGCCGCCTTCGTCTCCCGCGCGCCCACGGGGGCGGCACGCTCCACGCGCGCAGGGTACCATGTGCGGTCGGGCACCCCGACTAGATTCGGCTCCAAACTCACGGGGCCGCGCGACGTCGCCTATAAAACCGGCCTTCGACTACAAACCGACTAGATCGACCGACTATTTGGCCGGCTACTTGGTCGCTAGGCCCTTCGCGGGCGCCGCGGACCCGGGTCTCGACGACGTCCGGTTCTATGTGAATTTCGCTTTACGGCGCGCGGGGCGCCCGAACTCTCGTCAGTGGACCTCAGCCTCACCGCGTGGTGAGTTGACAAGGTCAGCGCCATTCGATCCGGGTCGTCCCACGGCCATAACGGGAGGTGCCCGCGGCTATGAAAGTTGTGGCTCCTTCCATCTGGAGCCTCGCAGCGCGGGCGGCGGCGGTCTGCTGCTGCTGGCGCATGACACGGGCGGCAGAAGCGTCGGTGGCACGCGACCGCTGGAGCTGGGCCACGGCCTCGGAGATCCCGCGGGCCGTGCGGTCATCGAGCCTGTACGTGTCGAGCGCGTCGTCGTACTCGAGGTCGACGATGGAGATCACGTGCTCGATGTCGTAGGCGGACGTGTCGGAGACGTCGTATTTGAAGGTGTTGCCCGCGTTGGGCATGCAGGAGTACCACCTCGCGTGGACGTGGACGTCCGGCCGGTCCGCCGTGAGCTCGAACGGCTCCCTCCAGATCTTCCGCTTTCCGCCGCCGGCCTTCCCCTTCATCCCCTCGACCCTCCCGAACTCCGCCGTGACGGTCCCGTCCTCGCTCGTAGACCTCCTCGAGGTGCTCGATCGTCGCCATGCTCTCCCGCAACGCTCCGAGGCAGCGCCCGGCGACCGAATGCCAAATAGCCCAGGCCAGGCCCTGCTGGGGGTCGGCGCACGCGTCCACAGACTGGCGACCCGTCGCTAGGCGCACGGGAGCCGCCCGACGCGTCGGCTCGCGCCTCGCCTCGACCCCGAGAGGCAGGGGGCGGGCCGGACGGAGTTGCGCCGAGCCCGCGAAGACGCGCGTTGGCGTGCACGGTCGCGCGCACCGACTACAAGGGAAATCTACCGACTATTTCCGACTACAAAGCGATTCGGGCTGAGCTCACCGAGATACGCCAGAATCCGGTCTCAGACTGCACCGACCCCGACGGACTACAAAACCCCCAGACCCGGCGACCGCACATCGCACCTCACGCGCGTGGAGCGTCGGCCCCGGGACGACGTGTTGGCCTCAACTCGACCTTGCCGCTCACCGCACACTCGCCACACCTCATACCCACTCCGCGTACCTCTATCGTAGCCTCCCGGCGTCCCAACAAGTCCCCCCCCCCCAAAAGCCCCGCTTTTACGACCCCTTTTTCGCTCCGCCCACGCCATCCAAAAAAAAAACGTTCCCACGACCGCGATCGCGCCCGTCCGCCCCCGGGGGAGGGGGGGCGTCACCCCCCGGGGCGCGGTCGTCGTCGCCCCGGGGGGGCGGGGCGGCGGTGGCCCGCCGGCGGCGTGGTCCGCGGCGGGCACCTCGACGACGGCGAAGAGCGACTCGCTCTTGCGCGGCCGGCGGCCGGCGCGCCGGGACCCGCTCCGCTACGTCTTCGAGTCCTCGGTGCACGCCAAGCGCATGCAAGCCGGCCTCCCACCTCGTGGCCCGCCGGCGGCGTGGTCCGCGGCGGGCACTTCGACGACGGCGAAGAGCGACTCGCTCTTGCGCGGCCGGCGGCCGGCGCGCCGGGACCCGCTCCGCTACGTCTTCGAGTCCTCGGTGCACGCCAAGCGCATGCAAGCCGGCCTCCCACCTCGTGGCCCGCCGGCGGCGTGGTCCGCGGCGGGCACTTCGACGACGGCGAAGAGCGACTCGCTCTTGCGCGGCGCGGCCGGCGGCTGGCGCGCTCCGCTACGTCTTCGAGTCCTCGGTGCACGCCAAGCGCATGCAAGCCCGGCCTCCCACCTCGCGGCCCGCCGGCGGCGTGGTCCGCGGCGGGCACCTCGACGACGGCGAAGAGCGACTCGCTCTTGCGTGGCGCGGCCGGCGGCCGGCGCGCCGGGACCCGCTCCGCTACGTCTTCGAGTCCTCGGTGCACGCCAAGCGCATGCAAGCCCGGCCTCCCACCTCGCGGCCCGCCGGCGGCGTGGTCCGCGGCGGGCACCTCGACGACGGCGAAGAGCGACTCGCTCTTGCGCGGCGCGGCCGGCGGCCGGAACGCGCTGGGACCCGCTCCGCTACGTCTTCGAGTCCTCGGTGCACGCCAAGCGCATGCAAGCCCGGCCTCCCACCTCGCGGCCCGCCGGCGGCGTGGTCCGCGGCGGGCACCTCGACGACGGCGAAGAGCGACTCGCTCTTGCGCGGCGCGGCCGGCGGCCGGAACGCGCTGGGACCCGCTCCGCTACGTCTTTGAGTCCTCGGTGCACGCCAAGCGCATGCAAGCCCGGCCTCCCACCTCGCGGCCCGCCGGCGGCGTGGTCCGCGGCGGGCACCTCGACGACGGCGAAGAGCGACTCGCTCTTGCGCGGCGTATCCAAGCGCCCGGAACGCGCCGGGACCCGCATGCAAGCCCGGCCTTCCACCTCGCGGCCCGCCGGCGGCGTGGTCCGCGGCGGGCACCTCGACGACGACGAAGAGCGACTCGCTCTTGCGCGGCGCGGCCGGCGGCCGGCGCGCTCCGCTACGTCTTCGAGTCCTCGGTGCACGCCAAGCGCATGCAAGCCCGGCCTCCCACCTCGCGGCCCGCCGGCGGCGTGGTCCACGGCGGGCACCTCGACGACGGCGAAGAGCGACTCGCTCTTGCGCGGCGCGGCCGGCGGCCGGCGCGCCGGGACCCGCTCCGCTACGTCTTCGAGTCCTCGGTGCACGCCAAGCGCATGCAAGCCCGGCCTCCCACCTCGCGGCCCGCCGGCGGCGTGGTCCGCGGCGGGCACCTCGACGACGGCGAAGAGCGACTCGCTCTTGCGCGGCGCGGCCGGCGGCCGGAACGCGCTGGGACCCGCTCCGCTACGTCTTCGAGTCCTCGGTGCACGCCAAGCGCATGCAAGCCCGGCCTCCCACCTCGCGGCCCGCCGGCGGCGTGGTCCGCGGCGGGCACCTCGACGACGGCGAAGAGCGACTCGCTCTTGCGCGGCCGGCGGCCGGCGCGCCGGGACCCGCTCCGCTACGTCTTCGAGTCCTCGGTGCACGCCAAGCGCATGCAAGCCCGGCCTCCCACCTCGCGGCCCGCCGGCGGCGTGGTCCGCGGCGGGCACCTCGACGACGGCGAAGAGCGACTCGCTCTTCCGCGGCGCGGCCGGCGGCCGGCCTCCCGGCCGTCGGCGGACGTGCCTGAATGGTCTTCAACCCCTGATTCGCGCGCCTCGTCCGTCGATCGTCGCCGCGGAACCGCGTCGATTCCCCCGCAGGCACCCGCAATCTCGACCACGCACGTACTTTCCTGCGGCCTCTCGGACACCCCCCGTGACATCATGATGACGACGTTTCCCCGACTTCTCCTCGCCGCGACCTTCCTGGCGTCGGCGGACGCCTTTGGGTATATCATCCCGCCGGAGACGACCACTACGGCGGCGCCCCCCGTGGAGACGACCACTACGGCGGCGCCCGCCGGAGCGCAGGCGAAGGTGACGACGTCGCTCTTCATGACGGGGCTCTCGGCCTCGGACGTGAACGAGGACGCGGACGTGCGGGCGGCGCTCAAGGCGACGATCATCTCGTTGGGCGGCTACGACGATGTGTCGAACATCGTGGCCGAGAGCACGTCGACCCGGCGGCGGCTCCAGGACGAGGACGGCGCCAAAGTCTCGTTCAACGCCACCATCTTCGCGGACGACGTCTCGGCCGCGGAGGACGCGGCGGCCGAGGCGACGAACGCGCTCCAAGAGGCCGTGGAGAGCGGCGAGTTCCTCCCAGAGCTTAAGGCGCAGGCCGCCGAGCGGTCTCCCGAGGCAGCGGACGCGCTCGAAGGCGCCGGCGTGGACAAGGAGAAGACGCTCGACGCGCTCGCCGAAGCGACCGTTACGGTGGAGGTCGTGACGGCCAAGCCCACGCCCGAGCCCTCGGCCGAGCCCACGCCCAACCCCTCGGCCGAGCCCACGGCCAAGCCCACGGACCTGCCCACGGGCCTGCCCACGGCCAATTCCACGGCCAATTCCACGGACCTGCCCACGGCCAAGCCCACGGACCTGCCCACGGGCCTGCCCACGGCCAATTCCACGGGGAACAGTACCAACAGTACCTCGGCTCCCACGACCAGCCCGACGGCCGCCCCCACGGGCGCGCCCACCGCGGCGGGAAACAGTACCAACAGTACCTCGGCTCCCACGACCAGCCCGACGGCCGCCCCCACGGGCGCGCCCATCGCGGCGGGAACCTCGGCTCCCACGACCAGCCCGACGGCCGCCCCCACCGCGGCGGGAACCTCGGCTCCCACGACCAGCCCGACGGCCGCCCCCACGGGCGCGCCCACCGCGGCGGGAACCTCGGCTCCCACGACCAGCCCGACGGCCGCCCCCACGGGCGCGCCGACCTCGGCTCCCACGACCAGCCCGACGGCCGCCCCCACGGGCGCGCCGACCGCCGCCCCCACGACCAGCCCGACGGCCGCCCCCACGCTCTCGCCGACCGCGGCTCCCACGACCAGCCCGACGGCCGCCCCCACGGCGGCGCCCACCGAGGCGCCCACGCTCTGGCCCACGGGCTCGCCCACGGTCGCGCCGACCCCCGGGCCTGGGACCTTCGCAGACAAAGCCGAGCTCGAGGCCGCGGTCGTCGAGTGGATCGCGGACCCCGTCGCCGCCGAGGACGAGTACGGTCCCATCAAGGACTGGGACGTGTCGCGGGTGACGGACATGAGCTACATGTTCGAAGAGGCTTACGCCTTCGACCAGGACATCGGCGCCTGGGACACGTCGTCCGTGACGGACATGAGCTACATGTTCGACTACGCTTACGCCTTCGACCAGGACATCGGCGGCTGGGACACGTCGTCCGTGACGTACATGAGCTACATGTTCGAAGAGGCTTACGCCTTCGACCAGGACATCGGCGCCTGGGACACGTCGGCCGTGACGGACATGAGCTCCGTGTTCTACTACGCTGAAGCCTTCGACCAGGACATCGGCGGCTGGGACACGTCGTCCGTGACGTACATGAGCTACATGTTCGAAGAGGCTTACGCCTTCGACCAGGACATCGGCGCCTGGGACACGTCGTCCGTGACGTACATGAGCTCCGTGTTCTACTACGCTGAAGCCTTCGACCAGGACATCGGCGGCTGGGACACGTCGTCCGTGACGTACATGAGCTACATGTTCGAAGAGGCTTACGCCTTCGACCAGGACATCGGCGGCTGGGACACGTCGGCCGTGACGGACATGAGCTACATGTTCGACTACGCTGAAGCCTTCGACCAGGACATCGGCGGCTGGGACACGTCGTCCGTGACGTACATGAGCTACATGTTCGAAGACGCTTACGCCTTCGACCAGGACATCGGCGGCTGGGACACGTCGTCCGTGACGGACATGAGCTACATGTTCGACTACGCTTACGCCTTCGACCAGGACATCGGCGCCTGGGACACGTCGTCCGTGACGGACATGAGCAACATGTTCGAGAATGCTGCCGCCTTCGACAAGGACATCGGCGCCTGGGACACGTCGGCCGTGACGGACATGCGCTACATGTTCGGCTACGCTTACGCCTTCGACCAGAACATCGGCGCCTGGGACACGTCGGCCGTGACGGACATGAGCTACATGTTCGGCAATGCCTTCGACCAGGACATCGGCGGCTGGGACACGTCGTCCGTGACGGACATGAGCTACATGTTCTACTACGCCCGTGCCTTTGACCAGGACGTCGGCGCCTGGGACACGTCGTCCGTCACGAGCATGCGCTCGATGTTCTCGGGTGCTGACGCCTTCAACCAGGACGTCGGCGCCTGGGACACGTCGTCCGTGACGAGCATGCGCTCGATGTTCTTCAGTGCTGACGCCTTCAACCAGGACATCGGCGCCTGGGACACGTCGTCCGTGACGGACATGGTGGACATGTTCTTCGACTCGGGTCTTCCGTCGTGCCCGTCCTGGGCCGTTGGCAAGAACGCGGGCGGCCCCTGCTTTTGCACCTTTTGCTAGTAGATGGCGCCGCGGGCCGCGGACCGGAGGGGGCGCGTCGGACGGCGCCGCGGGCCCATGCCCCGTGGCGAGCCGCAGACGCGCCGCCCCCTACCCCCATCCCCTTCCCCTTTGAGAGATTTATCCCCCGGGGCTCCCGACGCCGCGTTCAGCGCGACGTCGCTGCCCCACGCCAACGGCCTCGCCAAGCCGCCGCTGCGCTCCACCGCCGCGGGCCGAGCAAAACTCGCGCCCGCCGCCGATCGAGGTAACACTACGATTCGTTGCTCGACAAGCGGCAGCGCTTGCGTCGGTTGAACATGAGAAGCTCCCCCCGTGCACGCGAGGCCACGCGTGAGCCTTCGGCGGGGCGCGTCCGGCGCGCGCCATCCCCGGCGCGGCGGGCCATAAGTGCATCGTATCTCGACGGTGATGGTGATGGTGGTCAGTGAAGTTGGCAGTCGAAACTTGGGTGAGGATGGCAGTCGAAACTTTGTTACTAGTAGCCGGGGATAGCCAGCACCCTCGAGGGCGAGGGGCGTCCCCTTGTACCCGTGGCTTTCGTCGGTACCCGCACCTGTACCCGGGACAAGGGTTCTGGGAATTTGGCGGCCCCTCACCCTTACCCTCCCGAGGGTTTCGCGGGTTCTCGGGTCCGCCCCTCGCCCTTGTGTGGCCTTGGCCCCGCCGAGGTCCTCGCGCTCCGCGTCCGAGACCGGCGCGAACAAAAAGTGCCGAGAGAAGTGGAACGCGACGTCGACGCGCGCGCGGTCCGCCGGCGACCGGGCGCTCAGCAGCCGGAGGCCGTTGGGCACCGCGGCCGCGCGCGGGACGTAGTCGAGCGCGCGCCGGTGGGCGGTGGTCGACAGCAGCGCGAGCGACGCGACGCGGTCCGGATGACTCGCGGCGAACTCCATCGCGACCATGCCTCCCATCGAGTGGCCGACGACGTGCGCGCGCGACCAGTTCACGATCTCGAGCACGTCGCGCACGTCGCGCGCGCTCCGAGCGACCGAGTACTCGCGCGCGTCGAGCGGCGCGACGCTCCCGCCGATGCCCACGGCGTCGACCGCGACGACGCAGACGTCGGACACGTCGCCGCCGCGCCGCAGGGCCGCGAGCAAGAACCGATTGTTGTCCAGCGACGCCGCGACGCCTTGCAGGAAGATGGCGCGGACCGACGCGTTTCTGTCGCCGTGGATCACGAAGTTGATGCCCGCTTTCGTCTTGAGGGCCACGCAGACTGGTGCTCTGTCGTCGTACCACCAGTGCCGCGCAGGCATCGCGCGAGCCAGTTAGTTGTGGCGGCCTCGCGCCGCAGGCTAGGTCAGTTAGCGACGGCCTCGCGCCGTAGGCTAATCTGATTAGGCGGGGGACCCTCTGAGCCCCCCTCCAAATCCTGGAGCGCCCGTTCACTTACTTTTGCCACTTTTTAGCGATGAAGCCGGCTCGAATGATTGAGCCTCGAAATCTGCTCGCGCGATTTGGTCTAGAACTTACGTATCGCTTTGGGACGCCAAGATCATCTCACGACTGCCAATCTAGCCGCCCGAGGGAGAGCGGGCTCTGCAACATGACCAGGCCCGCCTCGCGAGTCGTAAATTTAAGGCGAACGACTTACGCGCACCCGTGCTTGCCGAGCGGCACGCCGAGGTAGCGGAGGTGGTCCGCCTTGCTCGTGCAGCCGAGGGGCGCGCAGGCGTCGGAGCAGTTCGGGTCCTCGGCGCTCGCCGAGTCGGAGCAGGCGACCACTGCGACCGTGTCGTTCGCCTGCCAGAGCTCCCCGGGCACGTGCAGGAAGTTCAGGAGTCGCTGCGGCAGGTGCGGGATCACGTCCTCGGCGTGCGTCACGCGGTACGACCGCGCGCCCGCCGCGTCGCGGACCTTCTCGAAGTAGGCCGCGAAGGCCGCGTTCCCGAGGCGCGGCGATCCGAAGGAGAACGCGTCCGTCAGCGCGTAGCCGGAGACGTTGCCCCGCCAGACGTCGACGCCGAACAGCGTCGCGCACGCGCCGCCGGCGCTGTGCCCCGCGGCGTAGAGCGGCGCCAAGGCGGTGGTAGGGAAGTGCGTGTCTCTGGCCTTCGCCAAGGCTTCTACGACCCCGCCCTTGAGGTCGTGGTACCAGTCCGACATGCCCTCCATGACCGCGGCGTCCGAGTCGTCTTCGTAGGGCGACGTCTTGAAGCCGTCGACGTTCTCGAGCCAGTTCTCCACGTTGGAAGTCCCGCGGAACGACACGAAGAGCGAATGATTTTGGGCATCGTAGCCGACGATCGCGCGCTCGTGCTGGACCTCGATGATGGCGGAGATGTTGATAGCCTCCAGCGAGGGCGGCAGTGTGGTGGCGCAGTACGACGCCTCGGCCACCAGCGCGGCTCGGACGAGTGACGACACGTCCGTCTGCGCGCCGGCGACCGACGCCAGCGCCAGCGCCAAGCTCAGGGGCTGCCACATCCTTCTTGAGAGCGGCTGCCACATCCTCCTCGAGAGCAGCGCAATCTCCGGATGCAAGATGAAGGTAGGATGAACTGATGATGCAGTCACCCAGCCCCCGCGCGAGCCTCGATGCCTGGCTCGTGTGAAAGAGAAGGTACGATCACCGCTTCTTGCTTATCTTCGCGAGCAGGCGGCTCTTCGCCGTGGACGCGGCCTTGGGCTTCGCGGCCCGCGGCTTCTTCGCCGCGGGCGACGCGCCGCCGGGCCGCGCGGCGGGCGCGTCGGGCGTCGGCGCCGGCGCCATCGCCGGCCGCGCCTCGACGGCCTCCGGCGCGGGCGGCGGCGGCGGCGCGGCGACGAAGCGCTCCTCCGGCCGGGGCCCCGCGCGGAAGACGAACTTGGGCGCGGGCCGCGGCGCGCGCGCGAGCGCCGCGGCCGCGGCGTCGACGAGCCGCGCGGGCGAGTCGAAGCCCGCGTCCGTCGCCGCGAGGAGGGCCATGCCCCGCTGCCGCGCGCAGTGGATGCGCGCGCAGCCGTCGCGCGCCCAGGCGCCGCACGCGTCGACGAGCGCGGCGAGGCCGCGCCGCTCGTGGGACCCGAGGCCGTCGGGCCGCTCGTTGAGCCGGTCCAGCGCGCACTTGACGCCCCAGAACATGCAGGGGACGAAAAAGGGGAAGCGGTACTCCTGCTTGACGTGCGTCCGCGCCTCGATGTCGTGGACGGCGAGCTGCAGGTCCGCGGTGCAGAGGCCCGGCAGGAAGTTGCCGCCGAAGACGAGCGAGTCCGCGGGCGTGTGCACGGCGTGGATCCAGCCCGAGGGGATGAAGAACGTCTCGCCCGCGCGCACCTCGACCCGCGCGCAGGCGCAGGGCCCGCCGGCCGCCGCGACGTCCGGGAACCACGTGCTGTCCTGGTCCGCGTCGCAGATCCACCGCTCGTAGGCCGCGAGGTGCGCCGCCTGGGCAGCAAAAGGGTGATTCAACGTCGCTTCAACGTGAGTGTTCCGCCCAAAACAAGCATCCACGCTTCGAGACCGTTCCGAGAGATGATCGCTCGTCCAAAAGTCAGCCGAAACGAGTGGAAAATGGCCGAGATCGGAGCCTTTGAAGTTGGGAATTTCGCTCTCTTTTGCTGCCCTGTGCGCCGCCGTCGGCTCGAGCACGTAGAAGACCTTGCTGCCGCGGAAGACGTGGTACCAGACCGCCGTGCCCCCGAAGTCGACGTGGAAGTCCGTGTAGCAGCCCCCCGTGGACATGAGGCAGTAGTACTGGGTCTGCGGGTACTCGCCGCGCGCGCGGTAGGCGTCGGGGAAGCAGTTGTCGATCCAGTCGAGGCGCCGCACGAGCGCCGGCGACCGCACGTGCGCCGCGAGCGGCGTCCGCGAGAACTCGAGCGAGATGACGTTGAGCGTGTCCTCGCGCACGGGCGCGTGCCAGTAGCGCGCCCAGTCCGCGAGGCTCCAGTTCTCCACGGAGCTCTGGTCCTGGGACCGCATGACCTGCACGGGCGTCCGCTCGCCGACGATCCGCGCGACGTCGCGCACGCCGAAGGACCCCGAGGGCACGGCGAGCCCGAGCCCCGCGGCGTCGGCGATGAGCGCGGGCCGCCGCAGGCCCGTGCGCCGCGCCCAGGCCTCGTCGAAGCCCCGGCCGTCGGCCATGCGCTCGACGAACGCCTCCGCGGGCAGGCACTCGACGCTCGCGAGCGTCGGCACCCACCGCGACAGCGTCGACGGCTTCTCCGTGCCCAGGCCCTCGTCGAAGGCCGCGTAGTCCACGACCGCGCGCTTCCGCTTCTCCCGCGCGCCGGGGCCCCGCTTCGGCTCCATGCCTCGGTCTGCCCTCTGGCACGCTTCCTCGGTCAAAGCGCCGTCGCGGGACGCTCCGAGCGCACGATTTTTTTGGTCGCTACCGACGAGGGACTCGAGCGCTGGCCTGGCGCACCGGGACGGCGCGAGCGGCGCCCTTGTCGACGGTGAAATGCGACGACAAGAAGCTTTTTGCTTTAGAGATTTTGTGGCAATTCCTTCAAGAAAATGACTTGAACAAGGTTGAAGACCTCGTGAGGTGAAGGTCGGAGTATGGTCTCCGAGACGCTCCGACGTCTGCCACTGCTACTGCTCCTTCGCGCAAATGTCGCGCTCGTACGGCAAACCACAATTAAAAAAGCGTCCGCGCGTTTGCACGTCCGCGCGCCGGAGCGACGGCCGACGGACGTCGCCTACGGCACCTGCGCGACGTCCGAGGCCCGGCGCCACCTGCTCGAGCCGCGCGTCGTCGTCGACGACCTCTACTACCTGCGCGACGCGTCCGACGACGAGACGCGGCGCCAGCTCGCCGCGGAGCGCGCGCGCGCGGACGACGTCGCGGCGGCGCTCGGCGCCGCGCGCGACGCCGCGGCGTCGCGCGTCGAGGCGCTGGTGCCCGCGGCGGCGGCCGGCGACGCCTGGCGCGCCTTCGGCGCCTGGGAGTGGCGGGGCGCCGCCGACGACGAGGGCTTCCGGGTCTGGGAGCGGCGGCGGCGCGGCTCCGAGTCGGCGCCCGAGGTCGCGCTCGACGAGCGGTCCGCGCCCGCGGCGCTGCCGAGCGCCTTCGAGGGCGGCGCGCCCTACCGGGGCCTCGTGGTCGGCGTGAGCCACGTCGCCATCGCGCCCGACGGCGCGGACCTCGCCTACACGGTGGACGCGACGGGCGGCGAGGTCTACTCGTGCGAGTTCGCGCTCTCGGATCGCCCGCCGCTCGCCGCCGTCGACGCGCAGGTCGCCTGGGCGGCGGACGGGGGCCTCTACGCGCTGCGCTGCGACGGCGCGGGCCGGCCCTGCGAGCTCTGGCTCCAGGACCGCGAGGGCCGCGAGCGGCTCCTCCGGTCGGAGCCCGACGAGCGCTTCCGCTACGAGCCGCCGCGGCCGTCGTCCGACGGCGCCGCCGCGCTGCTGCGGGTCGCGTCCCGCGACGGGGCCGAGGTCCTGCGGCTGGAGGGCGCGACCTGCGGCGTGCTCGCGGCGCGGGTGCCGGGCCGCGCCGTCTCCGCGGCCGACTTCCACTCGGGCGCCGCGTGGGCCGTCGTCGCGGACCGGGGCGGCGACGGCGCGCTCCTGCGCGGCGACGACGCCGTCGCCGTGGCCGGCGCGCGGGACCTCGACGCCGTCCTCGCGCTCGGCGCCGACGCCGCCGTCGTCGGGGGCGTCGCGGACGACGGCCGCGACGCGGCGTGGGTCGTCGCGGGCGGCGCGAGCGAGCGCGTCGCGCCGCCGCCGGGCTACGCCGACGTCGCGCTGCGGCCGGACCTCCACGAGGGCGAGGCCCTCGGCGGGGCGTCGACGCTGCGCTTCGACATCTCCGGGCCCGACCGGTTCCCGCGCGTCGCGGCCTGGGACGCCGGCGAGCGGCGCTGGGTCGCGCCGCCGGAGCCCTCGGCCTTCGAGGCGTCCCTCGCCGTCGAGCGCTTCGACGTCGGCGGCGTGCCCGTCGTCGTCGTCGCGGCGCCGGGCGCGCCGCGCGCCGCGGCGCTCTACGCGTACGGCGCGTACGGCGCGCGGCACCCGACGGCGCTCACGGGCGAGGCCGCGGCGCTCTTGGACGCGGGCGTCGCCGTCGCCGTCGCCGGCGTCCGCGGCGGCGGCGAGCGCGGCCGCGCGTGGCACGCCGCGGGCCGCCGCGACGAGAAGCCGCGGTCCGCCGAGGACGCGGCGGCCGTCGCGCGCGCGCTCCGGGGCCGCTACGGCGCCGTCGTCGGCCGGGGCCGGTCCGCGGGCGGCCTGAGCGTCGGGGGCGCGGCGTGCCTCGCGCCGGAGGCCTTCGACGCCGTCGCGCTCGGGGCGGGAAAAGAGCGCGAACTTCCCAACTTCAAAGGCTCCTCTCTCGGCTCGTTTCGGCTGATTCTTGGACGAGCGATCATCTCTCGGAACGCTCTCGACGCCTGGATGCTTTCTCTGGAACGCGCGCGCGCGAAACGCTCACGTTGAAGCGACGTTGCATCACGCTTTTCCGCCCAGGTCGCGCTCGACGTGCCGTTCCTCGACGCGCTCGGCACGCTCCAGGACGGGTCCCTGCCGCTGACGATCAACGAGTGGGAGGAGTTCGGCAACCCCCACGAGGGCGCGGCGCACGACATCATCGCGTCCTTCTCGCCCCTGGAGCTGGCCAAGTCCTGCGACGCGGCCGCGTTCCCGCGGTGCCTGCTCCGCCCCGCGCTCCGCGACGCGCGCACGGGCTGGTGGGAGGCCTTCAAGTTCGCCGCGGTGCTGCGGGACCGCGGGGCCGGCGACGTCGTCGTGCACGCCGACGACCGGGGCCACTTCGGGCCCCGCGCGGGCGCCGCGTACGCGCGCGACGTCGCGCTGCCCGTCGCGTTCCTCCTCCGATCGCTCCCGGCGCCCGGCGGCGCCCGGCGCGCGACCAAAAAGGCGACGCCGCGGGGCCCGGCGCCGCTCCGCGCCGCGCCCGACGGCGCCGGCGACGCGCGCGCGTTCCTCGTCGACGCGTCGCCGTCGGCCGCCGCGCTCGCCGCGGCCGCGCGGCTCCGCACGGCCGTCTTCTCGCCGCACCTCGACTCCACGGGGAGCATCTACCTCCAGGACCGCATCTACGAGGACGACCTCAAGGGCGCGGCGGCGGCGGCCGTCGCCGCCGACGCCGGGGGCCGCGTCGTCGGCGTCGCGTCCGCCGCGGCGCTCGCCGGCGCGCGTTACGTCGCTGCGGTCGCGACGGACCCGGCCTGGCGCCGCCGGGGCGTCGCGTCGGCGCTCCTCGACGCCGTCGAGGCCGCCTGCGCCGACAGCGCCGTCTACCTCCACGTCGCCGAGGGCAACGACGCGGCCATCGCGCTCTACCGGGGCCGGGGCTTCCGCGACGTCGCGGGCGCCGTCGCGCCGGACCTCTCGGCGGCGCTCGACGCCGAGGTCGCCGGCAGCGACCGGGTCCAGAGGCTCATGGTGCTCGACTCCGCGGCGCCGGACCCGGCCGCGGTCGGCGACGACCAGAGGCTCATGGTGCTCGACTCCGCGGCGCCGGACCCGACCGCGGTCGGCGACGACGGCGCGCGCCCGGAGACCCCCGCGACGGCGAGCGCGACCGACGCGTACCTCCGCTCGCTCTCCGGAACCGGCGTCCTACGCGTCGCGGTGGACGCGTGGCTGGCGGAGGACGCCGCCGGCGGCTCGACGAGCGGCCTCGCGTCCGCGGGACGCGCGTCGTCGTCCGCGGGCGTGGCCGCGGCGCTGAGCGCCGCCGAGTCGGACGCCGGCGAGCTGCGGCGCGAGATCCGGGAGACGAAGGAGCGGCTGCGCTGCCTGCGGGAGGCCGAGGCCGCGCACGCGCGCGACGAGGCGATCGCCCGGACGCTCTTCGACTTCATCGGCGAGTGCGAGGCCGCGGGCGTCGACATCGCGCCGCTGAAGGACGTCGCCGCCCTGGTCGCCGACGGGCCCGCGGCAAATAAAACGGCCCACTAGCTTAGACCCCCTTCTCCTTGGCGCGCTGCTTCGCGTAGCTCCGGCACCACTTGAAGAACCAGAACGCGTGGAGCAGGAGCGTCGCGGCCGTGCAGGGCCAGAGCGCGATGGGCGGGTCGCGCATGGCGACCCACTTGACGAGCAGGTAAAAATGGAAGGCGACGCGCACGGCGAAGAAGGCGCAGCCGTAGAGCAGGTCCGCGCGCGCGGCGGGGAAGCAGTGGCCCGCTGCTAAAATCGCCGTCGGCAGCTCGAGCGCGAGCGTGGACGCGCCGGCGACGGTGTAGCCCGCGCGCGTGAGCCAGGCGAAGAAGGCGGCGTAGACGGCGTGGTGGATCCAGCCCTCGAAGACGTGGAACTGGGACGGGTAGTGCAGCGCGCCGACGGCGCAGTCGGCGACGAGGAACGCGACGAAGAACGTGCAGAGGAACTTCGCGCGCGGCTCGTCACTGAACTGCGCCGCCTCGTCGAAGGCCGGAAAGACGTGGGCGAAGACCGTCGGCAGCGACCCGGGCCCGACGACACAGGCCGTCACGAGCGTCAAAAACCAGGCGCGCCGCTTCGGCTCGGGCTGCACGCTCGCGAACGCGGCGTAGGGCACGAGGAGCGTCGCGGCCGCGGCGGCGACGTGCACGGGCGTCGCCGCGGCGAAGAGCGCGTCCATGGCCACCCGAGCGTGCGCGAACCCAACTTCAGGAGCTTAAAGTCGAACGCATTCCCACCGAGCTCACGCTTCAACATCTTCGGCATGGACTTCAATATGGCCTTCGCGCTGCCAATCGAGTGCTCGGCAGCCTCGTCGTCGAGCACCAAAAATATGCTGCCAATCTGAGGTGCTAGGGCAGCCTCGTCGTCGGTCGCAGCCGCCCTCGCCCTGCTCTGAACCGATATGCGCCGTCGCTTCGCCCTCCTCCGATATGCGCCGTTGCTTCGCCGTTGCTTCCTCCTCCTCGCCGCCGCCGACGCCGCCTTCGACGCTCGCGCGGCGCTCGAGGCCGCCACCGCCGCCGACGCGTGGCTGAGCAACGGCACGGCGCCGGCGACGTGGAGCATCACGCGAGAAGCGCAGCTCGAGCACTTCCAGCTGCTCTCCGAGGGCACGGCGAAGAGCGTCCGCGCCGCGACGTTCAAACGGCGGAGGGTGATCGTAAAGTCCGACCGATCGTCCGCGCACGTCCACGCGTTCCGCGGCGGCAAGGCCGACGCGGCCGCGGCCTCCGTGGCGGCGATGCACCGGTCCGAGCTCCGCGCGGAGCTCGTCTACCTCGAGTACCTGCGGGGCCTGCCGGGCGTGCCGGAGCTCCTCGGCGGCTGGGTCGACGGCGCCGGCGTGACGTACGTCGTCGAGGACGCGGGCACGCCCATCCACGTCGTCCACCACGACTCCCGCATGAAGGACGTGAACAAGTACATGATGCTCGCGAGGCGGCGGCCGCTGGGCGTCGCGCGCGCGATCCTCGACTGCTTCCGGAGCTTCAGCGAGATCGGCGGCTTCTTCCTGGACGACTTCGCGCCGCACCAGTTCGCGTTCTCCGGCGCGCCGGGCTCGCCGCGGCCGCCGAGGCTCTACCTCGTGGACGGACCCAAAGCCCTCGCCGGTCGGTCCCCGGTCTCCGACCTCATCGCGGCCATGCCGAAGCCGCACGCGCTCGACGCGCGCGAGCGCGCGTGCGAGAGCGACGACGACTGCCCGGGCACGTCGCGCCAGCACTGCTGCTGCTGCCCCCACAAGGAGTCCACGGGCGTCATGGCCGCGGAATGCGCCGGGCGCCGGCGCCTCGTGCACCACAACGAGCACACGGCCTGCGCCGACGGCTCCCGGGGGTCGCCCGAGTCCAAGGGCCTCTGCAACCCGCGGAAGCGATGCGTGCCCCTGTCTTCCCGCACGCACAGCTTCGACGTCGGCGCCAAGGCCTGGCTCCTGCCCTTCCTCGCGGACAGCGCGGACCGCGGCAAGAGGCCGCGGACGGCGACGTTCCTGCGGCACCTCGCGGCGAACATGAGCTACGTGGGGCCCTGGAGGCGGGCGTCCTTCTCGGACGCGATCGCCATGCTCGACGCCTTCAACCGCAGCCTCGACGGGGGGGAGGCGGCCTAGGTCCTAGGGAGTTACGCCTAGGTTGCTGCACCGCACCCACGCGCGCTTTCAAGTGTTCACCGACCTTCAAAGCCGTCTTCAACTTGCCAGAGGTTGGGCTCAAAACAACAGTTCGAAAGTATGGCAGCCCCACAAAAAGACGCTGCAGCCCCGCGCGCGATCGTGAAGCGATGGCGCCGGCGGTGCGCCGACGAGGAGACGACGGCCGACGAGCTGCTGGACCTCGCCGTCGCGGCCCTCGTCGGCGACGACGGCGGCGACGCGGCGGCGCTGCGCCGCCGCGGCGCCGGCGACGCCGCGGCGGCGCGGCTCCTGCGCGCGGCGGCGCGGAAATTGGGCCTCGGCGGCGGCGCGGGCTACCTGCGGTCCGTGGCCTGGGCCGTGGCGGACCTCGACCCCTTCCGCGCGGCGGCCCTGCGGCTCCGGTGCCACGGCCTCCCGTCGCTGCCCGCGTACGCGCGGCGCCGCGTCGCCCGCGACGAGGCCGCGGCGGCGGCGCGGCGTTCCGCGGCCTTCCCCCTCGCGCCCGGCGACGACGACGCCGGCCACGAGGCGCTGCTCCGCGCCGCGGAGGCTGGCGACGCCGCGCTTGCGCGCCGCGCGCTCGTCGCGCCCGCGGGCTACCGCCGCGCGAGCTTCCGCTGCGCGGCGACGGGCCGCACGGCGCTCCACGCGCTCTGCGACGCGCGCAGCCTCGACGGCGACGGCGGCAGCGACGACGACGGCGCCGAGCGCTGCAAGGTCGCCGCGCTGCTCGTCGCGCACGGCGGCGACGCCGGCGCCGCGGACGAAAACGGCGCGACGCCCTTGCACTGCGCCGCCGCGGGCCTGCGCGTCGCGCTCGTCGAGGCGCTCGCCGCGTCCGCGGGCGCCGCGGCCCTCCTCGCGCGGGACGCCGCCGGGCGCACGGCGCTGCACCACGCGGCGGCCGCGCAGCTCAAGCGGTCGCGGCGGTGCCGCCGCGACGCCGCGCGCGGCCGCGACGTCGCCGCGCGGCTCGAGCGCGCGTCGGCGCGCGCCTGCGCCGTCGTCGCCGCGCTGGCGGCCCACGGCGGCGGCGCCGCGGCCGTGGCGCGCGACGCCTTCGGGTGCGCGCCGCTGGCCGTCGCCGCGTCGTGCCGCGACGCCGCGCCGCTCGTCGCCGCGCTCCTCGACGCGGCGCCGGCCGACGAGGACGCGCTCTGGGACGCGGCGCGCGCGGCGGCGCGCGGCGGCGCGGCGCGGACGCTGGCGCTCCTCGCGGCGCGGGCCGAGGCGAACGGCTGGGCCGCGACGTACCACTGGCCGCGGCTCCTGGCGCTCGCGGTCGCGCGGGGGTCCGCGCGGTGCGTCCGCGCGGCGCTCGACGGCGGCGCGGACCCGAACGTCGCCGCCATCGACGCCCTGCCGCCCCTCCACGCCGCGGCGTCCCGCGGCGACGACGCGCTCTGCGGCCTGCTCCTCGACCGCGGCGCGCGCGCGGACCGCGTCGTCGAGATGACCGCCGCGGGCGGGCGACGTCGCCGGCGCGCGCGTCGCGGCGTTGGACGCGGCCTGGGCCGCGCCCGGCGCCCTCGGGGACGGCCCGGCGCGCACCTGCGCGGGCGACGCGCTCGAGTGGACCGCGGGCGGCCTCGCGGCGCTCCGGGGGTTTCCCGAGTGCGCGGCGCGGCTCGCCGCGGCGTGCCGCGCCGGGAGCCGCCTCGGCGGGCCCCGGGGCGTGTCGCCCTTCGTCGCCTGCGTCCTCGGCGGCCACGACGTCGCGCGCCTCGGCGACGCCCTCGCCGCGTGGCCGCGCGTCGCCGCCAGAGCCACCGCGGCGCGCGCGGCGGACGCGGCGGACGCGGAGTGCTTCGGCGCGCGGCCGCTGCTCCTCGCCGCGGCGCTCGGCGACGCGGCGAGCGTGCGCGCGCTCGTCGCGTTGGGCGCGGACCCGGACGCGCACCGGCCCGTGCCGCGCGACGACGCCGTCGCCGCCGCGGAGGCCGCGGCGTTCGCGGAGGGCGCGCTCGACGCCGCGGACCGCGGCGCGGGAATCGCGCGCGGACGTCCCCAAAGGCTCCTCGCTCGGCCGTGTTCTCCTCGTTTCGGCTGGTGTTTGGACGAGCGATCATCCCTCGGAACGGTGTCGACGCGTTCTTTGGAACGCGCGCGCGCGCCCGCGTCAAAGCGACGTCGCGTCGCCCCGCAGGCGGAGCGCGACCTCGACGCGGCGGAGGCGCGCGCGCGGCGGCCCGGCGAGCCCCGGGCGCGCTTCGACGCGCGCCTCGGCGACGCGCGGGACCGGGGGAAGCGGTTGAAATACCTCTGGGGCCGCGCGGAGGCCGAGCTGCGGGGGCCGGGCTTCGACCGCGCCGTCGCGGAGCTCTTCGGCGCTTCCCGCCCCGCGGCGTCCTTCGCGGAGGACGACGCGGGCGACGTCGCCGAGGCGGCGGCGGTCGCCGTCTTAGTCTGCCTCGGCGACCCCGCGGCGCGCGCGCCGGCGCCGGCGTCGCCCGCGCGGTCGTCGCCGGGCGCGGCCGCGACGCCGACGTGGTGGCGCGCCGCGCGGAAACTGGGCCGGCGCCTGCGGCTCGCGGAGGCGCTCCTCGCGGCGCGCGGCGCGCCGCCGCCGCCCCTGCTGGCGGCGGCGGCGGAGGCGGGCGCCGACGAGAAGAAGCGGGTCCTCGCCGCGGCGGCCAAGTGCGAGCGCGCGGCGCTCCGCCGCGACGAGCGCGCGGCCGCGCTCCGGCCCCTCGGCGCGTGGCTCCGCGCGGTCGTCGCCTCCGCCGACGCGGCGGCGAGCGGCCACGGCACGGTGGACGCCGCCGTGCGCGCGCGGGAGCGGCGCGACGAGACGCGCGACGCGCGCGACGCGGCCGCGGCCGCGCGCGACGGCGCCGGCGCGGCGCGCGGCGCCGCGTTCGACGCGTCCGTCGGCGCGGGCGCCGTCGCGCTGGGCGCGGGCCGCGGCGACGCGCGCGGGCCCGCGGCGGCCTGCCGCGACGCGGCGGCGCGTTCCGCGGC